GTCCACTGCCTGTGGATTTGGCTCTGTAAATGAGGGAGGTAGATGGTGCCTTTGTTCCTAGGAGTCCCAAAGCCTTCCCCAGGACTTCCAGCTGCATCTGCCCTGGGGTAATGTTCTGATGCTCTCATTGATGTAGCAACATCTTTTGTGGGAGAGTATCTTTTTTGTGGCTCTGAGAGACAGCACTTAGATGGATCTCTTGGCGTGACTCTTCACAGTGCCTCTGCTTACAACTGCTGTATGATCTGCTTTGCTTAGGCACTAGCTGATGATGGATTTTTGTAGCTGTTGAATTAAAGATAATTGCAGGCTTAGGAGGGCTGTGTGCTGACTACCAGAGGGGGTAGAATACATGCAAGCAAAACGTGCAGCAGAGATTAGCAGTATAGTGCTGGGATCTGAGAACTGTAAACCAAAAAGGAACCTTTCTTCTCCTTCTCCTGCTGGCCCGGCTCCTCAAGGGGATAAATCGTGTCTCCTGGGTTCTGCATCTAGTCTGAGGCCTCTCCAAAGGGGCTGGGAATGGCTTGGAGGTGCCAAACCGCTTCGTACCGAGCGAGACAATAGCGCGCGGGGCTGTGTCCCTGCAGAGGCTCGGGGGGCAGGAGCTGTGCTGCGGGCGGATCCCACCGACACCTGACTGCTGCTGCTGGACTCTCAGAGCTTCCCCGGAGCTCTTGAATGGAAACATGCCTTTAGTGACACGGTTAAAAAGGGAAAAGGCCTGACAGCAGTTGTTTCCATGACAACAGAAAGAATTGCCTGCAATATTTCAGCTCATCAGCCGGGAGAACAGTCTGATTGATAGTTACATGCGTGTGGTAGAGAGACAGCAGAAGAGGGGAGGCCAATTATATTGCATTTTCCTTGTCCTTGAATGCCTGTGGCCACAGCAACTGTGGAGGGCAGTTTTTCCTTGCTACTTGTTTGTTGTTTGGTTGGTTGGTTCTTTTCTTCCCCCCCAAGTGAGAGTGGCCTGCATGTCCCTCGGAAGCGCCTGTACAGCCTGCCAGCTGCGGGTACGTGACCCTCACTGTCACAGGCTCTCTGCTTCAAAACCTACGCTGTGGGTGCAGGGAATGTGGGCATTTGGCTCCTTGATTGGTGATTAGCAAATAATTATTTACAATATAAAGAGTATCTTGGAGGGGTAAGAAGTGAGTTTCAGCACGTGCTTCTGGCACAGGCGATCTCTACTCAGGACATTCCCCTCTTCTCGGCCTGTCTGATGAATGTCTCAAAGGCAAGATGCACGTGGCTTCAGGAGAGTAACGGAGCGAAACCTGCGGTGTGCTCAGTGCGTCGTCCCCCAGAGCGCCCTCGTGGGCTCGCCAGCTCTGAGCCTTCGCTGGGACATTCGCGTGATGACGGGTGGGTGGCCAGATCCTTCTGCCCCGGCCGCGCTTTGCTGAAGGCGGAGTGGGAAGGGCAGCCTGTGGCAGGGGAGCTGCCAGAGGAGAGGCACTGGAGGCCTTTAGCTCTGCTCAGGACGCGGGCGCTTCTCTGGGGCCGTGACACAGAGCTGCAGTGCAGGCTGCAGCCCCGCCAATGGCAGCGTGCCCCAGGCTTCGGATAATTATCGGCGCGTGCTTTCCGGGGCGTTTGCCGAGTCTCTTGGGAAGAGCTGTCGGCGAGCTCTTCCAGAGAAGCTTGGGAGCCAGCGTGCTGTGCCCCGCACAGCACCGCGTCCCTGTCGCGTGCCCTTATCTCCCCAGATGGGACTGGGAGTCATCTTCACAGGGCCTTTGAACACGCTCTTCAAACGCGCCGGAAAGCACGAGGAGTACAAAGCAAGCTGGAGAGTGCCTGCGCCGCGGTCGGAGCCTGCAAGTGTGGGGAGGAGCACGCGTGTGCCTGAGCGGGACCGGCCCCGAGGCCCCGTGACCCGGCCTGACTCCGGCCTTCGTGCGGCCAGTTCGGCCTTCACGCCCGTCGGCCGCGCGCCCCGAGGGCAGCCGTGCTGGTTCTTCGTGTCGGGCTTGATCCGTTGTCAGAGTTTAAAGTAAATGCACCTTCAGTCAGTACCCACCGGTAGGACTGTGGCGTTCCGGGTTAATAGATGGCCCATGGGAAATGTATTTTGGGGAAAATATTTAAGAATGAACATGGAATGTTCCCTTAAAAATAGAACCCCGGAGACAACAGATGCCAGATTGCTGCTCATGAGGGAGGCTGTTCTCCCTGGCTCCTGTTGTAGTTTCTTGATGATGCTTTTGCTTTGGAATATGAGCCGAAACATTCAAAATAGAAACACTGTCATGTGATAAAATGGAACAAACCTACAAGAATCTGTGATGGTCTGTCATCTCTCCCTGGGATATGTAAATGGTGCCTTTTAAAGCAGTTTGGGTGCGTGTGCCGCCCTCCCCGCGTTAATGCTCTTGTTGCAGGCTGTGGTCCCTCTATTTGCAATTCTGTTTGCTCTCACCTGCCGCTCCGTACCTGCCCCGGCGCTGCTCGGGCCACCCTTGGACCCAACTGCTCGCACCCGCAGACGGGGAGTTTTGAGGGGACTATCAGGAGAAAACGAGCAAGGCCTGGGGGGAGCTGCTGGTGCCGGGGGAAGAGCCCAGGCAAGGCTGCTTGTCCAGAGACCCAGTCACTTCTCTTCCCAGCTGCCTGCGGGGGAGTTCTCCCACCCCTTTTCTTTCTCTTTTTTTCTGCCTCTCCTTTACTATTTTTTTTTCCACCCCCCCCAAGGTAACTTAGTACTGTTAGTCTGTCTGCCATGAGCTACAGACCCCAACGATAAGTCACTGTGGGTGTAAGGGTATCTCTGTCCTTTGTGCAACAATGGGATTTCCCCCCCCCCCCCCCCCCCCCAAAACTCAGGTGCACACAGTGGCTTCACGCCAGAGGAGAGATGGCTAAAAAAGCCACCGGAACAGGCTGCTCCAGGCCCAAGGACAGGAGCAGGGATGAATTTCTGTGTATATGAACTTGACATCTTGTTGTGTGTTGTTTCTGTAACCTTCTCACTCTCTTTATCAGACAAGTTCAGAATCTCTGTTGGATCCTCAGCAAATCCAAGCCTTTGACCAGCTCTGCCGACTCAACCGAGGAACCTCCAGAGTACGTACCATCTGTTTTCCTTTCGGTTTTAAATTGGTGAAGGGCATTTTGCATGTTGTCAAGCCAGGTATTAACACTTGCCGCGTGGGCCTTGGCTTTTCCCTGGGGTTTCATTTAGCGCTGGCACTTTACTGTGCGTGGAGCTGGCTGTTGCACCTCACGAGGCATCCACGCTGCCTCTGACAGAGCTGGGGAATTCGCTGGCAGTGAAACCATGGAAATGCCTCTGGCTTTGGGGGCTGGGCCTGAAGAACGTCCCCAGTGTGAGGTTTCTCAGATTCTTTTCAGATTTGCCAATAGCCTCCCCTCCAGACACCGCGTGGCTCCCGCAGTCGCATGGGAGGCTCCCTCCTCCTCACCCCCGTTGTCCCACGGAGAGCGCAGTTCTCTCCATCCCTTGCATTTTCCTTCTGCCTGTTTTGGCTGCAGTTGTTGGCACTGTCAGCTCTTTCTGGGATTGTTTTTCAATTATGTAACTTTAAAACAACCTAAAGACAGCTGGAAAGTCATTTAGTTCAGGACTGTTGTCACTACACACCCTATATACCCTTGTCTTTACGAGTGTTTAAGGTTTTTCTAATTGCTGCAGGAAAAAGGTGACACCCCCCCACCCCTCCCTGAGCACTTTGCCTTTCTGCACCTTGCCCCCCCCCAGCGCTTCTGGGCAGCCTGCCCAGGCCCCTGGACACGGAGCTCTCTGGGTTTTGTCTCGCAGCTGGCTCTCCTGACAGAACTGTCTCGCGGCCACGGTGGTGAAAAGCACGGGCTGCTCAGCGTTTCCCACGGGGACCCGGCCACCAGCAGTGTCTTCCAGAACGAGAACTTCCAGCTCCATCTGGCCCCCCCTCCGCTGGCTGAGGACTAGTCGGCGCGCCTGCCTGCCCTAAGGCCACCGCTGGTTTCGGGTCTGGGTGCCGGGCAGCCTTCCCATCACAGCATTGGCCTTCCCCCGAGCCCCCCGTGCTGTGCTGGGTCTTGCTGGGCGCTGGTGGGTTTGTAGCCGCGGGCGCTGCCGCTGCTCGCTAACCCGAGGCGGCCGGGGGGCAGCGGGGCTGGAAGCTGCCAACTCCGGGGGCACAGCCGAGCGTGCCGAAGCACCGCGCAGCGCTGGGCCACCTGCACCTCACCCGGCTGTAACTTGGCCAAATCACTGAGTCGGCTCCGCTGGAGGAGCGTGGCCCGTCCTGTGCCCAGAGCCCGCGCTTCACGGTGCTGTGTGGTGGGTGGGTACCATGCCTGAGTTCTAACTGTAGTTCTAGTAAAAGCAGCTGTTTTGCCAAGGCCTGGCCCGCTGTCTCATGGCAGAAGCCGTGGGGTCTGAGGGCACAGGCGAGGCAAACCTGGAAAAAGCTGAAGAATGCAGAAAAAGATCTACGTGTGAGCAAACTAACCTGTGTACGGTGTGTTCCTACAACCTTCCATTAAAAAGGCCCTTGGTTGAACCTTCTGGCACGAGCCCTGCAGCCGGGGAGTGGGCGAGAGGGCCCCACTGCTGCTGGCTCCCCTTTTCTTTGTACAAGAAAGATGCATCTTGTCCCGGCAGGCAAAGCACAAACCTCCCCTCTCGCCTTGTCGCGGTGCAGGGGGGAGCGGATGTGGGTGAAAAGGGGCTGGGGGCAGGGGGGAAAAGTGGCCAGGGGTAACTCGAGGGGCTCCAGCCGCCTCAATTCTGCCAGGCAGCAGCCTGGGCTTGCAGCTCCTTCCCTGCTGTCCTCCCCCCCGCCTCGGCCTTCCCCAGCCCAGGGAGAACTGGGCTGAGGTGCCCGAACCCCACCTGGGCTGGGCCTGGCCCCCTCACCCTGCTTGTTCCCTTTCTCTGCCTGCGTGCTTCGGGTGCTGCCCGCTGAAGCTGTGAGTGACCCTGCCTTTGCTGGGAATACCGGAATGCTTCACTCCAGTACAGGAAATACAGTTAGGACAAGCAGAACTTCAGTTGTTCAGTATTTTATTAAAGAGGAAAATATACAGACCTCTCCCTGGCAGAGTGGAGTAAGGAGCCCGGGGCACGTCTCTTACAGCACGTCCACGCGGTGTTTGTGCAAAGAAAAGAAATCACGTTTCTGTGAGGAGCGTGTTTCTGACCTGGGGCGCGCGCTGGAGCACAGTGAGAAACCTGCCCCCGTGCTGGCTGCCGCAACGCGTTCCAGAACTCGCCCTGTCCCACGCCAGGCTGCTCCACCGACGTTTTGCGGGTACAACAGAAGGAAGAGGCAACTTAATTGTGCTTAAGACATCTGACCAAATCCCGGGTAGGAGACACTCACAGCTTGTGAATATTGCTAATTACTTACAGTTAAGAAAGAAATGTATCCTGACGCCAGTGACAGGAACCTGCGAGACCACAGGATCTTGGGTGCTAAGCCCCCCACGCCCGTCCCTGCGCCCGCAGCCGCCGGGAGGGAGAAGCCGCCTCGGGGGAGGACACGCAGGCAGGCCAGGCCCCGGAGCGAGCTTTTCCAGCTCTCCCCTTAGATTACAATTGAAAGATTAAATATGAATAAATGCTGTAGGTTTATACATAACGCTTCCTTCTACCTATGGAATGTGTCCAAATGGTCAAAAGACACTAAAATGGTTTTAGAAACCTTAGTTAACAAAGACAGACAACCCCACCCTTAAAAAAAAAAAAAAAAATGAATCCTATTTAGTTTTACTACAGCCTTCTTTTAAATGCCCTCAGAAAAACAGATTATTTTTAGGTGCCCTGTGAGAATGTATCTGTTCATGCAATGGCCCAAGTTCCTCGTTTAACAAGCATTGCACTTTTTAATGTAAGTCATCAAAACTATAAAACCTATTATTTTTGTCTGAAAGTGTTAGTCTAAAAAGTACAGTATTACTTTATAACCATTTATGGTAAACTCCTAGCACACGCGCATGTGCACATACACACACTGTTGCCTAAACGTTTTCTAAAGATACTGATTACAAAGTGTATAAAATTAGTAATACATTGTCAGGATACAGTGAGAGAGATGAGTCATCCTATAACACGGCTATAAGCTAGTATCAATCACTAAACTGTACACATTTATACAGCCTTATATTCACCGAAGACTTTTGGAACGTAAACAGCAAATACACAAAGAAATTCAGTAATGCTGTTGAAAACACAGTTATTACTGACTCCAACTGCTTCAAGCTGACTGAACTCTGAGAACGACGTTTTGTTTTGTCGAGCAGGGCTGAAACCAAACCGCCAGCGAGACAGCTCGCCCTTACCGGCCGTGTGAGGAACCCCCTGTTCAGATTCTGCTCTTGACCTGGGTGCAAAGGAGCCAAAGCTTCCTCTCTCTGCTCCAGTGACCTTCGGCTGTATTTTACCAAGCACACGCACCACCGAGCCCCTGGGCCACCTCCGTGCTCTCCCCGAGCTCTGCTGACACAGTGGTGTGGCTGAGAAACTTTTTGTTAAAATTTGTTATTCTTCAGGCAAAGGCGGGCCCTGAGGCCGTTTGGTCCTGAGTGCACGGGTCCGGCACCAGACGGCCCAGGAGGAAGCAGCAGGCAAAGCCGAGGGCGGATTTTGTGTGTTTGGAGGTAGTGGCTTCCTTCGCCCGGCATCTTACACCCCGGTCTGGCGTGGTCGTGGTCAGACGGCCGCGCTTCAGCTCTGCCCGCTCCCCCTCCTGCCGAGCCGCAATAAGCCAGCTCCCCCTTCCCCAGATCCACGGAGAAAAAAAAAGGGAGCAGCTGGATCCAGGCAGCCGATCCCCCTCAGGAGCTTTCCGAGCCTGGCCTAGCTCAGCAGATGCTCGGTGCATAGCCTGGAGAAAAGTCGGAGGCACTTTGTGCATTCTCTAGCCTGCCGCACCAACCCGCTGGAAGAGCCGTGCCGACACCCTTCGAAGAGACGCGCCGGCACTGGAGAAAAGGATGGACAACGCGCAAGGCCAGACAGAGACGGGAGGAGCCCCTCGTCGCCGCACCTCGCGGAGCTGTGCAAGGAAGAAAAAGGGCAACGTGGTTTCGCTGCTGGCAGGCGCGCTGCACCAGCTCACCCTCTGTGCTTTGAAGGCCTGTGGCAAACATCCCGACAGACGGAAACACCTAGAGTGGCCCGTCCGTGTTAGGAGAAGCAGTGTCTGATGTAACCCAGACCAAGAAAAGGGCCCCTTTCAGCTATAAAAGTCTTCAGATTTATCACTACCTTACGTGCAGACGTGGGAGAGCTGATCGGGGCGAGAACGTGTGAAAATTGCTCAGGCTGCTGCTAGTTCACCAGTATCTGAGTCTCGTGACCGCGCTCCCATGAGGAATCCGAAATATCGAGTGCGCTGGAAAAAAGGGATTGTCAGAAAAAACAGAAAATATAAATACTACAAAAGCAACATTACTGAGTGGGAACTGGCCTGATCTGATAGCAACTTGCCGGATCACACGGTGGTTTCTATAGTCTCAATCACTTCCATTTCGCACTGCGAGGGTGACAAGAGCGGGCATTCGTCCGGTTCCCAGCTGCTATCCGGGCTGTAATCTTCTTCTGAACTTAGCTCGGCCACCCCCTCCGTGTCCTCGTCACACGACTCCATGTAGTGAACCCCCACCGCGTTGATCCCGGAGTCCTCGGAGCTGGAAGGGGACGAGCAGTGATCTGGTTTGGGTGTATTGCTCTCTTTTGTGATTAAGGCATTGCGAACGGGGACTTCCTCGGGCTTTATCTTGTGGGGCACGGGGGGAGGCTGCCTCTGGACGTAGCACATCTTCCCGTTGATGCATTTCACGCGGTAATTGTCAATGAAGAGGTCTGCGATTGTGCAGAACTGCGGGGAGTCGGGGGGCAGAGGGGGCTGGAAGACCGGAGCGAACTTCAAAAAGTGTTCGGTGAGGGAAACGGAGATCTGGATGGTGTTTGCGGACTCCCGAGGGCGAACTGGGATTTCGGTGCTGGGAAGCTGCTCTACGGGCGTCATGGGCTGATAGACATATTTACCTGTGGGGAAAAGAGAAAAGCGGTATTTAAAGATCCTTCTGTTTAAGGCAGAAGCAGGCCGAGGCCGCGAGGCTCGCCCTTGCCCGTTAATAATAACCGACGGTTCCCCGCGGTCGGCAGCCGCTCTGTGTTCAGTAGCCTCGAGGTGTTTCGTCCTCGCCGGGCACGGCCTCTCCGACGCCCTGCAGGTCAGCACACCCGCCCGTGCCCCAGTGCCGCTCCTCAGGCACCCGCGGGCCGTCACTACCTCCAGAAAAATCACCTCCATAGCCAACAAGTGGGACAGACGGCAAGCCTGCCTCCACCCCTTTCTAAGGGAAAGGAAATAAACAATGCTCAGAGACTTTTTTTTTTTTTAATTTTTCACTGAGGAGAGCAGTTCTAGCTTACATCTTTGCTACAGTGATCTAAATTTTTATATTATTATTATAATTCCAAATTACAGTGCGCCTCTCTGCATGCATTTCCATGGTCTTTGTTTCTAGGGACTAAATCGTGTTTTTCTGTATTATAGAGGTTCATACAGAACTACAATTAGAATTTCAAGACGGAAAATAAGGGAATTCCCAAGCCATAGAAATGCTTTTGGCATCTTGATTATCTGGTTAAGTTGTAAGAAAATAGGATTATGTTGGTTATATAGAGCTGGACCAAGTGTGAACTGAAAATCTTTACTAAAAGAAATAAATAGAGGAGCAGAAAATCAGTACTTTGTTAGGAAAAACTGAGCAACCTGGGGGCTGTGCCTAAGACTGTAAAATGCTGCATTTTATTTGCACGAAGCCTCTGAAAGATTTAGGCCTCCCCAGGGGTTCCTACACCATGAAAGCACGAATTTCCAGAAGACTTGCAAGCAGCGGGGCTCTCCGAAGAGTTTTGATGCACAAGTTGCAAATCCTGCTTTGCAAAGGCAGAGAAAGTATCAAAGCACCGAAGGAAGGACTGTTTTGATGCCTGAAGCTCCCAAGGTGAGGAGCAGAAAGCCACCGAACCCTCCCTGCGGTAACGAACCCGGCTGCGCTGCCATGAGACCTGCCACACGTTTTTGTGTTTGCAGCTCAGAGGCAGGTGCAGCCCCTCTCCCCCAAATTCCCCGTTCCTTTGGGAAATCAGAGCGGCAATTGTGTTTCTGCTCAGGGAGGCTGAGCGTGGCCGGGGACGGCAGCAGGAGAGAAGGGCTTTCCTCTCCCCAAGGAAGGGCTCGCTCCCCCTGCCCTGCCTCTCTGCAGTAAAAAAACAAAACAAAAAACCATTCTCAGCCCCGGGATTCTTCCTGGGCGTGGGAATTGCTCTGCCCACAACCCGTTGCCAGCCGGCGTGGCAGCGGGTGCCCCAGCCAGCCGCCTGGGTGATGGGACGGGCTGGGAGATGGAGATCCCGACGCGCGGCCGCAGCAGCAGCCGCCGGGGTGTTCCCCTTCCCCGGCTCTGGCAGCCCAGGGGACCCCCCGGGCGCCGGGGAAGGCTCTTCCCTGCACGGGTGGTACCGGGAGGGGAACGGCTCGCGTGAAAGCCGGCCCCGCTCCTCTGCTGGGACTTCGACCCCCGTCCCCGATGGACGGGGGGAGCGTGGGGCTGAAGGAAGATCTCTGGGGAGCGTGGGGGAGGCACGGAGAGGCTCGGAGGAAGGAGCACCAGACGCTGAGGAGAAAAGCCCACTGGTGTTCGTGCCGTGGGGGGGGACAGCCAGGTGAGCCAGGCTGAGAGCAGCGAGACGGCGGCAGCGGGTGGGCAGGGGAAAGAACATTTTGTGAATAGATTTGACCAGGTCCCCTCCAATACCTCATCAAGCACTTTTTTTTCCTACAATCTGCGGAACGGTAATGGTTATCAGAGCCACTGGAAAAGCTCAGTGAAAATAAAACAAGCTTTTTCCCCTTCTGTTTGATTACGGCTGGATGGCAGAAAATACAAAACCATCCTCTCCCCTTGCCATCTTTTTAACATCCCGTGGTCTAGTTTCTAAACTAGCTGTGACTCAGAGGAATTAAGTGGCAGCATCAAGCAACTGGACACTTCAGCCACAGGCAGAGCAGAGTTCTCACTCCTCCGGTGCCCTCTGGAGCAGAGCACAGGAACTTTGGTTCTGGCACTCCCCAAGGGATGGGGTCTCTCGGGCATTTTCCTAATCTTGCTGGCACCTCCTCCCCGGGAAGCTCTCCGGGGCAGGTAGGCAGCCCTCGCCTCCACAACCCACCGTCCCAGCAGCAGCCCGTGGCTTCCTGCCATCCGCTGTTCTCCAGAAAACCAAAAAATCCAAAATTATTTGAAATTAGAGAGTACGATGTCTTGCAAAGCACCACCGACGACCGATTAGCCTGCCGCCGGTGGGAATAGTGTCTGATAAAATTCAGCTCACAGAAACTGAAACGCAGCCTCCCCTTGCCTGAAACCATGATCCTGTATTTATTCATATATTTGGAACGCTTCTGTGTGGGCTCCTATTCCATTCCATTGACAACCAATGATAAAAACAGATACTAGTGAAAAAAAATTTCTCAGCTCAGTTTTCTGCCAGCTCTATCTGAAGTGTCCAAGGAAGGCCTTGGTGACGATTTTAACAGGATCAAGAGAAAAAAAAAAAAAAAAAAAAAAAAAAAAAAAGTATCTGCACAACAGGACTATGTTTTTCCACTTAAAATAGCCACCATGTGCTGGCAGAAGGCTGGGGGACGCTGGGAGAAGCAAGCAAGGGATTGAAGCCAAGGAAGCTTACAGCATGGACATTGAGTGATTATTCTTTATCAGTCTGACTTCCCCCCCCTCACCTCCCCCTTCAAAAAGTGGCAGCAGGGGGAGATGAGGTGTTACCCGGGAGCTCAGCTGGTTGTTTTACCATTGCAGCAGCATGTGGTAATTCTCTGCGTGCTTCAAAACTGCCCTGCTGGCACTAATTTCAGGATAGAAGAAAACAGCGGCTATTCTGTTGACAGAGGATTTCAGATCCCCGTTTGTGTGACCTTACGGTGGCTGAAACTGTTTCCTCACGTTCCAAGGACAAGCTCTGCCAGGGTAAAGCAGGAATCGTCCAACAGAAAAAAGGGAATTTGCCACATTTCTTTAGAATTGGGGTACAAGTTTGTTAAGTTTCAGCTAGTTTTAGGGCTACGTGTGTTTTAGACAGATTAAACTTCTGATTTAAAACATGATCAGGTCCCTCTTTAAGGGATGCTGGTGCCACAGCTGGCACTGTCAGACTGGATCCCAGACAAAGCTGGGTTACAGCTCCTTCCCCTACATAATGCATGTAAATGCATCAGCCGTGATGCATCCTATGAAAATTAAATTTTAAAATAAAATACTTTTAAAATAAATTAAAAAATAACATCGCCCCCCACCCCTGCAGCTTGCCGGATAGGCAGGGATGTCTTTTCCACAGAGAATTATCCCAGAAGCACAAGCCCTCAAGTTCTCTTCTACTACGTCTTGGTCTGATCAAACTCCCACTGAAATAAACAGCAATATTTCTGCTGACTTTAAACAGCTGGCAAAAGTCTAGCATAAACCAGTATTTTGAGCACCTATTCTGATACATTCCTTTTAATACGCTAGCACGTAATTTATTGCCTATTTATTCCAACCGAGTCAGTAAGAAGAACTCTGCTGATGAACGCTCCTGTAAATTACAGTGTTTTGCACAAATACAGATGCCAGACTAGACGCTGCATCACAAGTTGTTGCCAGGGTCACCTGCCACCACTGCCTATGCAGAAGACGGTAATTCGGTGAAGGAAAAATACCGCCCGTGCCGAACCCATGTCCAAAAAAAAATCAAACTCCAAATTCTGTGAAAAGCAATTTGCTGCATTTGCAGAAGTTTGGGAAGCTCTCAAGCAGTGTAATAGCTGCTATGGAGAAGCGTCACCGTTCTGGCTCTGCAGTTCCACCACTGTGGCAAAAGGACTCAGAGGAAGGAAGAGCCTGTTCCTCTCCTGGGTGTTTAATAGGAAATGTGTGAAACTAGGCTCTGCCAAAATTATTTTCGTGACAACTCTCAGTTATTCATGACAGCCATATACTAACAGATGATACGACGAAATGTGAGACAATGAGAGACTCCAGAAGTTTGTAGGCTATGCTTAACCAGACACAGCCAAAAGCCTGCACCAGTACTTACTCTTCCCGCGGCCACACGCTCGCAAGCGTTACCCTCGCAAACGCTGCGCCGCTTCGTGTGATCCCAGTCGCAGACTGACACCAGGTTACGCACAACCAAAAAGGCCTGACTGGTTTTCCATGTCTCCGTTACTCAACTGACCTTTGTGAAACACTTAAAAAACAAAACCTGCAGAGAACGAGCCCTAAAGCCAACACCCAACTGCAAACCAACTATTCCAAACGTGTCCGAGGAGCTAAGTACAGGGCAGTGCTCATCTCCCTGCTCCTCTGCTCACAGAAATATCATTTTTATTGCCAGATCGGTTGGATGCTGTTCACCAAAGCCTTGGCTCCACATCGCCAGCGCCACCTCCCAGCAGGTTAAGGCAGGATCCAGCAGAGCAGTGAGCTCTGTCATGGCCTGCACATCTCGAGCAAACTCACGCAACTTGGAAAATTTTTTATCCCCAAAAGCAGATAGATACTTCCACATTTGATACATATATATATATATACATAAATATATAAATAAATATATATATATAAAGTCTGTTTGTGACATTGATTACCATAACTATGTGGTTGATTCATTGGAACCTGTATTGTAGTGTTTCCTGCTTACAAAAAAACCAAATACAAGCCTTTAGAAGCAAGCCACGAGGTCATTTCTTTCTGATTTTTTGCTAATTGAGCAGTCTGCATGCATCCTCACCAAACAGACACAGCAGCAATTTCCATGGCTAATATAAAATAACTTAACCATGAAATAAGCAGAGGTGCTGCTTAAACATTTTATTCTCCACTTCCCTTTGTCCCAGCATTCTAGTTTACCTCTGACACTCATTAACGTGCTTGGCGTATTAAAAAAAAAAAAAAAGAAGAAATCCATCTTTCAGCATTGAG